TTTTAAACAAACACCCTAACACCAAAAAAAAAAAAAAAAAATCCTATTTAACAATCACAGTAAGCGATAGCCTTAACTAGGTGCTACTTTGTAGTACTTACATTCTAATTACTAAGATTTTTTTAAGAATTATTTTTATTGAACTATTTATTTATTTATTTATTTATTAAATTTGACTAGAGAGGGACAGAATGAGAGAAAGAGAGAGAGGAGAGAGGGAGAGGAGAGAGAGAGAGAGAGTAAATCACCAGGTCCGAGACTCGAACCACAGTCAGCTATGTGGGAGTCCAGTGCCCTTAACCACTATGCGACCTGATAGCCCCCATGATAAATGAATTTTATACTTAAGTCAGACATATCTTCACAAATAAGTGTATATCAGCTGAACTTGCTATTGAAAGTATTTAATTAATATTTTTTGTATATCATTATAATGTGGAGGAAGAAAGAGGTATGGAAAGCAATTCTAGACACCAGAGACTGTGGGAGGAGTATAGGAAATGGCAGAGGGTGAGTGGTAGGAAATCCAAGGAGGGGGAGGAAAAAGGAAGCAAAATATATAAGAAATAAGAAATTAAAAATTATTTGTTGACGATAACATGTATGGTAATATCCTTGATTGAGCCAATATACAGTGTATACTGGATAGAAAAATCTCATTTTGTATACTGTAATGATGTGAATGAATGTAAATAAATACATTTAAAATAAAAAATAAATTTAAATCACCCCAAAAGAAAAAAAAACTTTTTGCACCAAAAGAAACTCATACTTCAATTGTTTACAAACATTTTAAGTTCCCTTATTATGGTTTTCACATTTTCATAGCTCTAGCATTTATCAGAATGCCTCAAAATAGTAGAAACTCTAATAATTCTTATTGAGTAAATGAAATCTAATAACCCTGTGCATTTTATGTCCATTTCTTTTGATTCATTTCATCAGTGTCCTTTGATAAATTCTGTTTAAAAAAATAATAAATGAAAGGAAACTCGAGCTAAGACAGTGTCATCAGAGCCAATATCTGGATTTTGATATTAAAGCAGAATTTTTTTCTTATAACAAAAAAATAAGGACATGAATATGGAACATTATACCTAGAAAGAAAAAAATCTCACAGATGAGTGTTAAGATTATTGAGAACAACTCACTGCAACAACAATAAGATGGTAGATGAAGAGAAATGGAAGAAAATAGCACACAAATATCCACCGAAAACAATTTCTAATCATTTGTTTCTAAGAGTCAGCTCACAAAACTGCAGCCAGAGGAGGCAAGCTTGCTACAAAACTGTTGGATTTTCAGAGTAGAGAGTTTGAGCCTAAGGTGGATCCAAGAAGTAGAGTTGCAAACACCGAGAAGTTCTGCAAATAGCAGCTGCAAATCAAAGAACAATTCCAATGTGTGCACAGTGTGGAAGAGACTAGAGGTTACATATTGGTCTTTTCTACTTCACCCCCACACACAAATAGCAATCACTGACAGTAACATCATCTTTGAATAGAAAGACACAGGGGAGTTTTATCTGTATCTATCTATATATCTCTGTACTATTTATTTTTATGCATTGTACTTACTGTGAAGCAGCTTTATCACAAAGCAACTAATTTAACAAGTCTACCACATAAAAGTCTAAATAATATTATTTATTTTGTAAGAATGAATTTCTGTAGCCAATTTTGACTTCTAATAAAGACATTTTAATTTGATCCTCGCCAAAGTTTTAACTGTCACCAGTATATAGGTCCAATAGCATATTATAATTACAAAGCTGTGCTTTTGAAACAGTGGGATGCTGAATCAAAGCTGTCAACTCTGGGGAACACTTCTGACATGTAAGCTGTGTTATGCATCACCTTCTCTGAGAGTGTGTCAAAAACTAATTCCATTCCTGGATGGACTGACTCAAATGCAACTCACATCCAGGGTGCTTCTAAAAAAGAATACAGTAAAATATCTATACAATTTCTAAGCATTTTCAGTGTCTGAAAAGTAGAAGTAATTAGATATTCTTAGTGAGTTGTTAGCTCTCCACCTTTAAAAAAATATTAGATTAAGGGACCAGCAGTTAGCATAAAGCCTATGTTGCTGAACTCCTATGTAGTTGACCACAGTTCAAGTCTTGGACCCAGTGGCTTAAACTCACGCCGGGCACGTGTGCATGTGTGCCCAAGATCCTGAGAGGAGAATGGAGGAGAAGGGATTGCAGTGTGGCCATCTCCACTGCGGGGTGATTTCTCACTTTCTGTCTCTCTGTCTGTCTCTGTCTTTCTGGTGAGCACACGCGCCCTAGAGCAAAAACCTCTAAAATATATATATATATATATTAGATGAAAACAAAAGAAACAGAAGGATACATTTCAGGAAAATGATCACTGTAGTCTTCCCTTATCCATGGTTTCACTTTCTGCAGTTTTATCATCCATGGTCAGCAATGGTATAAAACGTGAGTGCAGTGCAATAAGATATTGCATATGTGTGTTTAAGACAGAGAGACCATAGCGCTACATAACTTTTATCATTATATTTATAAATTTTAAAAAATATTTAAATATGTTCATTATTACTATTTTAAATTTTCTATAGGGCGTATGTGTTCTCAGAGACAGAGCAAGAGAGAGAGAGAGAGAGAGAGAGATAAAGGTAAGAAATCAAGCCACCAGGTGTTGGACTCAAACCATAGTTGGCCATAGGGGATCATGTGCCACCTGCTGTCCCCTTTACTATGATGTATTGCTGTGATTTTTCTATTATTAGTTATTGTTGTTAATCTTTTCTTTGTGCTAACTTATAAATTAAACTTTGTCATAGGTATGTATGAATGTAAAGGACAAAATACAGTATATATAGTGTTTGGTAGTATTCCCATTTCAGGCATCCACTGAGGGTCTTAGAATAAGTACCCAACTTATAAGAGGGGGACTACTCTATTCAGAATTGATTTTTTTTTTCACTTCAATTCAGTGGAAAATTTCTCTTAGATACTTCCCATTGGTGAAGGAGTTAGAAAGAAGAAAAGAACACTACTAATTTCAAATTCATTTTGGACTTCCATCTCAGTGCAAATGAATTAAATAGTTTAATATTTGTGTAAGCCAAACATGTAACTTAGTCAACATTAATCACTATATATTATTAAATTTTTTTTGTTTACTAAAACAGAGAGACATGAATAAGCCAACATCTACCTACCTTTGTAGTGGTTGCCTTGTAGTAGAAGACTCGACGTGGTAACAAATTAGTACAATAAACTAAGAAATTGATCATGCAGGGATGTCTTATTTCTGGAACCACAGGGGGAACATCCAATAGTTGGAGTAAGTTAGGAAGAGATGGAATAAATAAGACTTCATAAAGGAGGCAGTATGGGATACTATTTGGAAACATAAATAAGAATTTTGAGTTCTAAAAAGGAGGTCTAGAGGAAGGGCATGAGTGTTTCAGGCTTTGGGGATATGACTCAAAGCAAGAGGGAACATTACTCATGCTGAATGTGTGTATTTCCTGGAGACAAAAACTTAGATCACAAGAATGAACTTTGCCAGTAAGTGTATTCTTGAAACACATAAAACTTTTTTTTCCCCCTAAATAATATATTTCCCCCTCAGGGTTGTGAAAATATAACTTACTTACTCTTTGAACACAGAAACATCATGAATAGTGGAGAGAACATCAGCTTTGAGGTCTGATAATCTTGAGTTGAGACACTACCTCAGCCAATTATGAACTCAGTTACTTTTGACATGAACCTTAACTCTTGGCCTGCAGTTCTGCAGGTGTAAAGTCGTAATAAAAGTTCTACTTTGATGGTTTGATATGGAATAAAGGGTATATTTGTCTGAGACTTTAGAACACAGAACAAAGGCAAAAGAGACACCAGAAGGTGACTACTTGTTTTCCCATCTAACTTCTACAGATACATTCATGATGGTTTTAATTTTACTTCAAAGAGTGAAATCTACATAAACTGTGTTTGTAATATTTTTAATCAAAGGTAAAGCTTTTAATTATTGGATATATTTAATCATTATCTAAATATATTATATTGACTTACTTGAAATCAAGTTAATATGGGAAAATGCAGTAGAACTAGAGGAAAATAAGACTAAACATTGTAATTTTGAAAATCGAAGATAGGTTGCCCCTATTATTTCAGTGTTATCTGTTTCATACAGAGTTCATGAGCTTTGGCTATCTTTTCTCTATCCAGGTTATTTGTAGAAGCTTTTAAAAGAACTTATGAGGGAGACCAGCAGATGACTTAATGGTTATGTCGCTAGATTCCCACACGGTCGACCATGGTTCACATCTCACCTGGTGGCTTCAAACTCACACTGGGCACATGTATGTGGATGTCCCAAATCCCGAGAAAAGATCGGAGGAGGAGGGATTCCAGTATGTGCAGCCCCCCAGGGGCTAATTGTTAGCTTTCTGTCTCTCTGCCTCTCTGGCAAGCACACACTTCCTATAGCAAAATCTATCTCTATAACCAAACAATCAAAAAACACTTGGGAAGAACACCAAGAAATGTGGTGCTGTTTTACTTAAATCACTATTTACTAGTTTAGAGGTAAGGGATAAATAATTATACAGACTAATCACTTCAATCATCCTACAAAATGTACTTATAGCTAGCAAATATTTTATTGACTGGAAAACTTAAGATAAATGCTAATATGGTAGGAAGAAATACCCTAAGGAGAACCTTACTAAATAGATCAGGAAGAAATCAAATGGCTTTAAAACAATTTGAAAATCCCCTGAAGTATGATATTCTTGACTAATTTTTGGGAACTTTGATTTTTTTTGTTTCTTATTTTATTGAAAGAAATGATGGCAGTGACATAAGCAACAGTAAGCAATCACTAATGCATGTTGCATGAGAGAACATGAAATATACGTCATGAATTTCCCAACAGCTAAGGACTAAGTGAGATTTGAACCCCAATGTCACATATTCCTGAATATTCTGTTTATAATCTGTATATAGGTATCTTCTTATTGTACCATACTTTTCCCTCATGAAATCTTCGCAGAGGTATTGGGTCTTGGGTCATTTTATCCATCAGTTATTAAACACACACTAATTTACATTCCAAAGTTTTGCAGAACTATAACACATAGTAAATTTACTTTAATCTGATTATCATAGTTTATAAATGAGGCAACTAATACTAAGACTGTTTAAGGGAGCAATCCAAATTCATGTAGACATTAAGAAAAAATTGGCTGCTAACTCTAGACATGTTTTTTCATTTTTCTTTATTTAATGTTCTCAAAGGTACATGTCTTCACCTGAGACACAGAGACAGAGAGAGGTGGGAGAAAGTAAGAAAGCACCCCCAAAGGGGATGGCCACACAGTCTGTTCCATTCTATTGGCCTCACAGAATTTGGGGCTCATACGCACACATGCCTGGCTTATTTTTCTAAACGCTGGTTCTAAGACTCAAATTGTCCAATTGACCACATGATATCCTGCTGCCTTAATTGCATGCCACTGGCTGACCCCATTTTTTTTCCTCAGACTTGGAGAAATATGAATTTCAAAGAGTAATCTACATTGTTGGACAAATTTGTGAGTCATACTCTACACTAGATTCTCTGAACTAATTCAATATCCACTGGAATCAGTATGCCTTGTATCCTTAAGAAGTGCTGAAAAAATAAATGCAGCGAAGTCTGATTTTGGTACACTTTTCATCTAAGTTCTGCAATTCTACTATACGGACATAAAATAGCCTTCCTATGGAGTTAAAATAAACAGAGTTGGTGAATACCTGTGCAAATAAGAGCATTAAATACATGATAGACTGATGTGTGGAAAGTCTTTATTTTTTGAGAATTTTAGGAAAGAACTGTTTTGCGAAGGCTTTTTCACCAAGATTAGATTGGTTTGGAGTTCTCTGTATCAGTGTTTTCAACTTCGTTTGTTTCTAGTTGTATTAGTATATATTTTTACTTCCTGACTGTTGCCATGTTTTTTTTTTTTTCAAATAATTATTTTATTTAACTTTATTTATTTATTTATTTTAATTTGACCAGAATGGGACAGAGAGACAGGGAGAGAGGGAAAGTGAGAAAGCAAGCCACCAGGTCTGGGACTTGAACCGTGGTTGGCCATGTGTGAGTCCAGCACCCTTAATCACCACTCAACCTGCCAACCCCTGTTGTAGTGTTCTATAGTCATTGTTTCTGACTAAATGCTTTTTAAAAATCACTACATTTAGGAAACATTGATTCTCTACACATGGCAAGATGGTATCATTCAGTATAATGGAATAACATGACCTCTGAATTATATATTTGCACTTAACTTTAAAGGGGGGGAAATGGAAAACAATTGTATTATGTAATGTTCTTTCATAAATACGTTTCAAACATCATTAACATTTATATAAATCATGTCATATAGACAATAATTCATTGAAATAAAATATATATTAGCTGTATAATTTTTCCTATGCAAAAAAATTGTAGTAATTATTCTAGTAATTTTTTGTGTAGGAAAATAAATATAACACATATGTATGATGCTAAATATATTTATTTAAATCATCTTTACGTTCCATTTTGAGTGGAAGGTTTTAGTTGAACTAGTAATAATTTTTGCTTGTCTTTGTTAACCTATAAAGCTTAGTCATATATAAAGCTGAAGGTAGTTTTTTAGCTTACCTGGGTTTTTCTGATGATAGTAAATTTAATGTGACTGAATTTTCTGCTCCAGTTTCTTTATGTATGTGTTCTATAAGCAGAAAATAAAGCAAACTAACTTAAAGGTGATTCTATTTTGAAACTGTCTTTTAAGTTAGTAATATTGAATTATACTTTTATTTAAGTAGTGTTTTCAACTGTATCTTTCAAAATTCTCAGTAATTTGATAAACCTAAATCTATTAAATAAATCGAGTTTATTTCCAGACAATGTCATTTCAAATATAATACACAAGTGCAGCTCTCAAAAAATATATCACAGAAAAGCAATTTACTTTTGCCTGAGTTTAATTTGTTTCATGTAACCCTTTTGGGTTCAGAAAACCAATTAAAATGAAAGTGTGTGTTCATGTACTCTTCAGATATACTGTTTCACACAAATTGGCAGGAGGCATAAATACATGTTTATATGATAAGAGCAATGGACAATTAGTAGATATACTATTGTTGATCTTTTAAAGATGTACTGTGTCTCTTATTTTATTTTTAGGGTTTTACCATAGGGTGCATGCACTCACCAGTGGGAAAGAAAGTATGAAAACACCTCCCAGAGAGGATGGACACACCATAATCCCTTCCCGATTCTCCTCTTGGGATTTTGAGCATGCAAGCACATGAGTCCAACATGATTTTAAGCCTTTGTTTCTGGGACTTGAACCGTGGTTGGCCATGTAGGGGCCAAGTGTCTTAACCACTATCCCACCTGCTGGCCCCTACGTAATATGCCTTTGCTATGTAAAACTGTGAGGGTCATTGGATAGCTCTTCTTGTTATTTAGCAAAGCAAACTAGGGACATTTTGCAGACTATTCTGAAAGGAAGCAAAGATTTCCATAGAACTCATTTTAAGATTTAATATTTACTTAACTATTATTTTGCAAAAAAGTACATAATATTATGAATATAAGCTAAATTATATGAGTAGGTAAGAAAACTGCTCATATCTCAGAACTACATGTTTATTAGAATATAGTCTATTACTTTCTTAACTACCAGGATAAAGGTTCTTTCTGACTGACTTTTAAGTGGGAAGAAAGTGAATCTTTGTTTTTACTATTACTTTTTTTTTTTTAAATATATTTTTGCTATAGGGTAGAGATGCTCTCCAAAGAGAAACAGAAAGAGAGAGGAAAAGTCCACATTACAATCCCTTCTCTAACCTTTCCTTCTTGGGTTCTTGGGTACACACGCAAATGTTCCAGGTGTGATTTCTAAGTCATCAGGTCCAGTACTGAAACCATGGAGTTGGCCATATGGGATCCTGCACCTTAACTTCCTGGCCATTTGCTGGCCCAAAAAGTGAATCTCAATAATGGAAATTAAATTAGAGAGGATTTTAGAAAGTTTATGGAAAATGTGTATTATATATTTTTAAAAAACTGTATATATTTTAAAATTTCTGACACCAAAGTATACTCATACTTTAATCCCATTTTCCATGAACTTTTTAAAACCCTCTCATATGCTTTCTAGCTAGTTGCAAATGACTTTGTAGAAAACTCATACTGTTTTTAATTTAAGAATGGGTTTACTCTAGCTTGCTAAGCTTTACATCAAAATGTTTTAGAAGACTTTTGGTATTATTTTGAAGTTTGTTTGGGAGGCTTCTAAATTATAATTATAATCAGAATTCCAGAATCCAAAGTGAACAAACTCTTATAAAACCCATCCTATCAAGTTCTTCATTCATAAGATTATTCCTTTGGGAACACTGTTGTGAATCACTGTGAGCTCTGGGCACCCTTCTCTCCCTTTTCTTTGGCAACTGTGATTTCTGAGTGTAGAAAATCACTTTGATAAAGCATGGTGCATTGTGATTTAAAATGCTTTGTCCTGTTGATTAAAAAGAAAGAGGCTAGAGACCAGCAGTTAGCATAATGGCTATGTCACTGAACTCCCATGTAGTCAACTGCGGTTCGAGTCCTGGTCCTGGTGGCTTAAACTCACACTGGGCATGTGTGCGTGCCTGTCCCAGATCCCGAGAGGAGAATGGAGGAGTAGGAATTGCGGCGTGGCCATTCCCTCTGGGGGTTGATTTCTCTCTTTCTGTCTCTCTGTCTCTCTCTGTCTTCCTGGCGAGCGCACACTCCCTATAGCAAAACAAAAACAAACAAACAAAAGAAAAGAAACTCTCCAAAAAACCAGAAAGTGGCTAAAACAAAACAATTGTGATGATGGCCAAATCTTATGCATCTCTGTTCCCATTGATGACTACCTAGTTCCTTTAACAATGAATATGAGCAAACGATGATGCACCATTTAATATATGCCTACATGTTTCCATTTCCTAGTACTTCTGACAACCAATGTGCAAATATTAAAAAAAGTGAAGTGATTTTAAGCTTGGTATTCACTCTAAAATCTGTTTAATAGTACATTTCTACTGAAAAACCAAACCACTAATGTTTTTGAGTGATATTTGAGTGCTTTCATTTTTAAAAATAGAATGCTTATTAGAAAAGAATATAAAAGTTAATGGTAAAAGGGTATTACAATATATCAAATGTTTCTGTATTTGCACAGTCCTGGTTGGCAGGCCGAAGCACAATTTAATATTTATAACTACAAGAGCCTCTGGAAATTTATCTGGCGCGTTTTAGTCATACGCTACATAGGAGTGTGTCTGAGTAAGATCCTACTACCTAGAGACCTGATTACAGGGTGAGCTGTTTTTATTCCCCACAACCCCCAATAGTTTATAACCTCCCAGTGTCGCATAATTGGTTATAAATCTACTGAATCACTTCAAAATCCTTTGGGGGAGAGTGACACACATTCCATACATAAGTGGTCTAACACAGTTGTATGTTTAATGTATGAACGAATAGTCAAAATAAATGCTATTGTTAGGATATCAGAATTTGATGCTGCTCTCCATGAACTATAATGCACTCTTTTCAATTTTGGCAAAGGGATAGTGGAAGACTAATAACCCAGCTTAGATGATGACAAGAGGGAAAATAGCACTCAAAATATTCACACATCCAAAGACCTCACATGTTTTGTGTATGGATAAAATTGTACAGAGAGCAGAGGCTAGGAAGATGTGTCAATTTTATATATTGATGTCATGTCTTCTTTCATTCAACCGCTAAAATTAATTCTAGATTATTTTCTGTTTATAATTCTTCATTCATACTCTCTCTGCCTTTCTCTCCACCTTTTCCTCCCACTTTGGATAGAAAACTTTTGTCAAAATAATGAAAGGCAAATGTTCAGATATTACAACTCTGTACTGATTAGGTCATGATTAGTTAACATTATTTGAAGACTTAACTGATCTCTTAATCTTTATATTATAGATAGACAAGCTCTGTGTTGGCTTTTATTTTCTTTATCTCTCATACTTGATTCTATATGATCATCCCCATTAAGATAGACTCATTTATGTATGAAAATAGAAATGTTTAAATCTTTATGAAAAAAATCTCTTCCTAGAGAAGTGATATCATACATGCTTGTGTGCATGTGTGGAGACTTCTAAAAGTTTATGAAAAATTGAGTTACAATAGAAGTTTACTTTGTTGCAAACATTTTAAAATTCATGCACACTGTTTTCATTTTTTCTATGGACTTTTTGAAGACCTCAAATATACACATGTATACATATATATACAGACATGTACATGTTGTATATCACACATGAACATATACACACACACTGCCACTTTCTTGATTCCCCAGAATACACATTTCCCTCCATAATTATTCAAGCATTGGGATAAGATTACCATATGCTCTATGATAATTTTAGTAAACTATTATGATTTTGTTATTTTTGCACCTACAAAATTACGGTTATGATTTTTACATTACTCTTGCCAAGTCAATCGTTTCTATTAACAACTAGCTATGTATTATAAGTACTTTTTTCACATTGTCATAGTTTTCTGTGTCAGTAGGTTGGTCATTTTTGCAGTTGATGTGAAATTATATGCTATTTCATATATTAATAATCACAGACCACAAAGTGAAATACTTTATAGCAGAACTTCAATATATCTTTGTTAAAGTCTTTTTTTTATCTAAAAGAGATATGATGTGATATTTTGTTACATTGTGAAACAAGTCCATCGATCAAGCTAACAAATTTATCCATCGCCTCATCTGTTTACTTTTTTGTGAGTTTATAAAAATTCAATCTGCTGTCTTAGAAAATTTTACATGCATGATGCATTATTATTAATTACAGTCACCATACTGCAACATTATTAATTTAAAAATGAAATATTGCACAAGACTGCACATTTTAGTGTTCTTGATGAAGTTACAAGGACCAGATGTATTCCATTTCACATTTATGTCAATTGTAGAAAAACTCAAAAAAGTTTGGAAGTTATTCGTGCTGTTTTTTCTTTTCTGGTTTTAGAATAGAAAGTTCAACAAGAATTTTTTAAATGAAGTAAGCATTTTAATTTGAAGGAATCTAATTTTTGCTGTTGACTTACCATTAAGCCTCTAGGTTTCAATCACATCTATTATTAAATAGAGTGTCAAATAATATTCCTATCATTTTGAATAACAACTTTCTATAAGAATGTGTTGTCTCAGAGTATTTACTCCCAAAGGTAAACCTTTTGACTAAGGTCATTGGGGAATTAGGATCTGAGCTTCTATTTGACTAACCATTTTATCTCTTTCTGCCGTGTGTTTCATTTGTTGTGGTTACTGTGACTGCTCAGATAACGTGTTCATTTTTATACTCTGCCTAAACATCTGTGTATCACCTTCTCCACCTTTTTGGCTAGCTGAACAGTCAGAAATGGGGGGATAAAAAATTTCAGGCTGTTTTGATAGCATATTAGTGACTGTAAAAGATTATGTTTGGATTTTGTGACATAAATTCAGAGTAAGCAATAGAAGGCAGAAGAAGCTGGATTAGCTAATGCTTATCTAGCCTAAGATTTACACACATGGGTGGCCAAGATGAATGTTAACATCCACAATCCTAGTAATTCAGTAGTCAGGATACACGAAATGCTTAGGCTGGTCCCATTAGATAAGAAAAAGAAGGAAAGCAAGGTGGAAGATATACCATTGTCTCTGTTTTTCTCTAGCTAGTATTTTTGTTTGTCTGTTTGTTTGTTTTCCTGGCAATATTTTCATGAAATGTAAAGAAAATAATTTAATATTTGCTGTGATACTTGGATTTCAAGAGTCAGTTTCCATTATTGCAAAGGAAAATTATGAAAATTTCCATGCTACTAATGTGTCAGTATGGGTCCATTTTTAAAACTTCAAATAAACAATACATGTGATAATAAACTCATCACTAGAACAAACCATTATTTTATATAAAGGTTTTGCCATAAAACATGTGCACATGCAAAAGAGAGAAAGAGACAGTGAGAGGGACAGTAAAAAATAACCCTGTAGGGGAGATGAGCATTCCACATTCACTTCTTCATTCTCCTCCTAGGATTTTGGGTGCACATGCACATGTGCCTGGTGTGAATTTCAAGCCACAAGGTCTGAGATTAGAATCACCGTCATCTATGTGAGACTCTAGAGTCTTAACCTGCTGGCCACAGAAGAAATATATGTGTATATATATATGTATGGGGTTTTTTTAGAAGTTTTTGCTATAGGGTGCATACACTCGCCAGAAAGAGTGAGACAGAAGACAGAAATGGAGAAATCATCCCCCAGGGGGGATGGCCACACCACAATCCCTTTTCCTCCATTCTCCTCTGGGGATCTGATCTTGGGCACACACACGCATGCACCCGGTATGAGTTTAAGTCACTGGGTCTTGGATTCGAACCATGGTTGACTACATTGGAAGTCCAGAAACATAGCCACTATGCCAACTGCTGGTCCCAGGAGAAATATTTTTAAATTAAAAAAAATTAAGGAAACCAGCAGTTAGCGTAATGGCTATGTCGCTGGACTCCCACATAGTCGACCGCGGTTTGTGTCCTGGACCCGGTGGCTTAAAACTCACGCCGGGCGCGTGTGCGTGCGTGCCCAAGATCCCGAGAGGAGAATGGAGGAGAAGGGATTGCGGCATGACCATCCCTCCTGGGGGGTGATTTCTCGCTTTCTGTCTCTATGTCTCTCTCTGTCTGTCTGGCAAGTGCACGCGCCCTACAGTGAAAATCTCTCAAAAAAAAAATTAAAACTAACACAAACAAACAAAATCACTTTAATTTTTCCAGTGACAATTGAGAAATATTTGCATGGAAATTGTGTAGAATTAAAATCTTGCTTATTCTTTGTTTTACCTTTGTCTGGTAACCCTGGCTTTTTTTCAATGTGCCTATTAGCATGTACTTTCAGAATTATTTTCTGATCATTCTGAAAGTTATTTGCATGAACAAAAATTTTAAAAATCTGTTTTTCTTTATTCAACAATAAAATACTGTTTGATATGTGAAAGGAATTTTTGAGTAATTTTTGTAAAATATGATTACTGTGCTATATAATAATTTTAGACAATTAAAACAATGAATCAATTTGATGAAAAATCATGGTTACTTTTTTCTTAATAACCAAAACTGCGTCATGATACAGCATTTTTGGTAGGGTTGAAAACACATTTCTGCTCTCTCACTCTCTCTCTCTCTTTTTCTTGGAACAATGGAAAAAATACATTTAGTGAAACCATGATTCATTTCAACTTCATGTTAAATTAGTCAATTCATTGAAAATGTATAAACTATGTTTATCCCTTCAGGAAGAGATTGTAGATTAACATTTTTTTCTATGCGGCACCTTAAATCCCTCAAGAAATTGCTGTTGCTACATTTTCTTCCAATTTGTGGGCTTCTGAATCTGCAGGGTGGGGGAGCCAGCTGCCTGACTCCTGGCATTTTGCTGTATTTTAGATCCCCCATGCTGTGCACGTCTGTCACATTGTGCTGAGAAGATGTGAAGAGTCAGCTGAATGATGGGCCCACCTGTCCAGCTGCTTCCAGGAACAGGGTCAACCTTCTCCTAGCTCCCAATTTCCTTCACCTTGACTCTTGTGCCTATTAATAAGAGGGAAGAAGTGTCTGCTGAGAACTCAGAAAATTGTTTTGAAGGGTGAGACACAGAACCAAATAATCCTGTACTTTCATTATTTGTTTACATGTCCGAAAAATAGGCATTGATAGGATATGAACTTGGTAATATTTTAATACATAAAAGTTACACAATTGTTTATTAAATTAAAAGAACATTATTTTCCCACACAAGGAATGTATTGTCCATAGGTGAATATTGTTGAATATTACCACAGTTAGAATGATTAGAAGAAAATGGAGAAGAAAAAAATGTGGTTTCAGAAGACACAGCATGTCAATGCAAATGGTCAAAGTAAAGAGGCCCTGACAAGAAAGAAGAAAAGAGGCCAGCAGGTAATGTAGAGGTGAAGGTGCTGAACTCACACATGGTAGGCTGCAGGTGGAGTTCAGACTCCAGACTTGAAACTCCCTCCAGGCATGTGTGCCTGCGTGTGTGCACAAAATCCCAAGAGGAAGATTGAAACGGGATTGTGGTAAGGCCAGGGGTGTAATTTCTTGCTCTCTGCCTCTCTGCCAGTGCACACGCCCTATAGGAAAAATTTCTCTCTCTCAAAAAAAAAAAGTAAAAATAAAGAAAACAAGTCACGTTATTTAAATAAAAAGTCACATTCTTATCTTCTGGCATCATATGTCTTCTCCTTGGCAGACTTTTTGGCTTAGTTCTTCCTGGATTGTTGTTGTATACTTAGACATGTTGAATTTTGAACTATTTAAAGTCCTCACAATTTAGGTTACCATTTATAATTCTTCACAGTGCTCCCTAAGCTTATCTTGCATCTTTCTTTTACACTGGCATTCTCCACCTGAAATTCATTTCTATCTTTGCAAATATAAATTTTACATGATTTCCAAAGCTCAGATAAAATGTCTCCTCTTACACTATTTCCTTGACCATTGAAATATTTTTAGTACTTTATTACCTTTATCTGTTTTCAAAAGAGTAAAGAATGTGTGTGTATGTGTGTGTGTGTGTGTGAGAGAGAGAGAGAGAGAGAGAGAGAGGGGTAATTGTTACTACTTTAAATATACAGAACAGTTATACTTCTAGATAGAACTGAACTACTTCATTTTTATTATGATGTTCATGTCTGATTAGTCTTTGTGTTACACAATGACATTAGGCTGTATTATTCATACTTAATGTCCATTCACTGTATAATAATTGTGTAACATGTTTTTGAAGTAATAAGTACATTTTTGTATTTGTTATTCAAATATTTTCTCAATAAATATTCAAAATGCTTTTATTTACTCAATATTTCTTTTGAAGTAGTATAATAACTTTTCAATTTTCCTGAAGAATGTGAGTAAAATATATTTTCTTCAGCTTGCACTTTTCTTCCTTCCACATCAACTAGAAAAACATCGTAGTCTATGACAGAGTGGTTACATTGGGGTAAAAATGGAGTCTTCATACTTAAATATGATTGTGAAGATTGATCCTCAATGGAAGAATTGATTGAAAGTTACTATTCTAGTTAGGAATTAATAAGATCAAATATTAAAAATGATAATTACCAAAGAAAATACAATATGCATGTCATTATGTTTACAGTAAATACCAACTTATCCTCGAATATTTCATCATAAATAGGGGAGGTCAACAAGGAGATATGACTGCCTCACTTTAAGATTAGTGTTATTGAAAGAAACAAAAAATGTCCATAGGTTATAATAGCAAAGCTTTTATTTCATCCTAACCTGGAATGTACAACCTAGTGGTATTGAATGAAACTTCTGTTTATTCTAATAAAATTATGATATTTGCCATATACATTTTCTGTCATATTTATTGATTTTTCCTGTTTTTTCTATGACTGCCTCACTTTAAGATTAGTGTTATTGAAAGAAACAAAAAATGTCCATAGGTTATAATAGCAAAGCTTTTATTTCATCCTAACCTGGAATGTACAACCTAGTGGTATTGAATGAAACTTCTGTTTATTCTAATAAAATTATGATATTTGCCATATACATTTTCTGTCATATTTATTGATTTTTCCTCTTTTTTCTTTTTTTTTTTCTTTTTTTACCATAGAGCATGTATGCTGACCGAATACAGAGAGAGAGAGCGATGGAAAGTGAGAAATCATCCCCTGGGGGGATGGCTACGCTGCAGTTCCTTCTCTTTCACCTCCTCTCTGGATTATGGGCAAACACACATACGTGCCCTTCATGTTTTTCAAGTTGCCGGGTGCATAATGCAAACCGTGGTTGACTATGTGGAACTCTAGCACCTTGAACACTATGACACCTGCTGGCCCTTCTCTGGGTTTTTGATAGGTCTCATACTGTCCTCTACTACTATTCATTTTATCTGTCTATATTTACTCATTGATTTATTGTACTGTGGTTGTCAGTTGGTAGTCTATCCATTCCTTTTTTCTGGATAAAAGATTTATGGAGTTTGTCTAGAGTTTCTTCAGATGTTGGAATAATATTTAGAGAATGAACTCATTCATTTTTTTAAATAATTAGTTTAGGGATGGTTCTATGTTCATATCCAGTGAAGAAATAGGAGGGGAAGTTTTACTGGTAGAGAGAAATTCTGCAAAATACATTAAAAAAAAGAATAAGATGTTAGATAAGTTTTGCTCACCACTGTTTCATGTCACACCTTTTTCCTTAGTTTGGACTTTTTCATTTTTCTTCCTTAAGCAAGAGAAACAGAGTGTGGGAGAGAGAGAAAGAGCACACTTAACTGAGTCTTGATGTTGTAATCTGCCCTCCAGTCTTCAGCCGTCTCTGACTCATGAGCATGTCCTTACCAGGTATACTCAGGTAGGTGTAGAGACTTGAACTGGAAACCATTCCATGTAGAAATGCCTCACAGATCCACATTTCACCACTGCACTACTATCTGGCTCCAGTTCAGGATAGTTTTTATGATGCTTAGAGATATTAAAGCTATTTTGTAACCATAAAGGAAGGGTAAAACTTTGTGGAGAAGCTGACCCAGATCCCTGACATTATTAAACACTGAACAAACTGTAATTTCCAGCCTATGTACATTTAATATGCTGGAATAATAAACCTTTATACTTAAAAATATTGAATATACTTGTTATTGGTAGCCAAAAACATAACTGACAGAAGTAGCAATTTTAATATGGCTACAATGTCTTATAAATGGAGATCACATTAAAAGATACCTGATACTACTTGAGGTAGTCCTAGCCTCCTGGGTAATTAACCTTTAGAAGTCATCAGCTTCTACAGTGCAAACAAGATAGGATAGCTTTAAAATGCCAAAGCCAATGTTCAAACAATGCTAGCTGGTATTTAAGGCAGAGTCACTCAACCACGAGCAGCTATCTCACACTAACTCTTGCTCTTTCTGTCCATGTTCAATGGAATTTAAAGCTCATCGGCACGAGTTCTGTCTTTCAAGATATTACTGATGATGAGTTAGTAAAAAGAATTGTCATTATTTGACAAAGATCTGTAGCTTTCTAATCACTGATGTCATTTTTCTAATAATTCCTTATCTTTATGCCAGTGCCACATTTTTGTTTTATATTACTGAAAAATTCCACTTATGTCTCCAATATTGTTGACTAAGAAATAAAGAGGTCTTAAGTAAGAAAGATAAACAAATGACTCACCATCACAAAAAAAGATTAAAATCTATTCTTTCAGATTAGAAGGAATTATTTAAAATTTGAACATTTTGTTTCATATTATCTAAGGCAGTCACTGTAAAATTAAGAAGAGTGGGAAATATAGAGAAAGAAACCAAAAATAATAAGACAGATTAAAAAAAATACAAACAAAAAACTCCTAGAGGGCACTTGTGTTCACTGCAGAGAGCTAGGGAGGGTTGGAGGGGGTCTATGGAGTGAGAAACCCTCCATGGAGTACAATCTTATTGCAATTCCTTTTCCCCCATCACTCTCTCTGTTGGAGATTTTGAGCATTGTGCACATGCGCCTTACAATTTTTCAAGCCATCAGGTCTGGACTTGAACAGTGCAACTGGCTATGTAGGATTCAGGTTTCTTATCCATCATGGCATCACCTGAGCCCTTGTAAGGCACATAGGTAGAGGAAAAGACTGCATAAGGTAATCATATGGGGCTGTCTTGAAGAAAAATATACCATATATAGCACTTTTTAAAATATGAATTTTGAAATTTCTATAGAAATTACAAAGATAGTACGAATAGGTTTGATGAATTCTTCACCCATTTTCTCCCAATGCTAACAGCTCATGTAATTATCAGTACCATATACTGTCAAAACCAGGATTCTGATATTGGTTAAATGTGTATGTATTCTTCTATAACACTGTATCATATATACAGATTTAGATAACTACCATATCATAATTAATTGATATAGTAAGCTATTTCATCAACATACAGATATTTCTCATGCTATCACTTTACAAATGGACCCCAACTGAGGTTATTCAATTTAAGATTTTTCGACTTTTTTGGTGGTGCAAAAATGACACATTCAGTAGAAACCATACTTTGGGTCTCATAAATTCTGTTTTTCACTTTCGGTGAAAGTGTTGATATATAAAATAGGTTTTGTGTTAAATTATTTTGCCCAATTTAAGCTAATATAAATATTTTGAGCATGTCCAGTGTAAGCTAGACTAAATATGTTATTCATTGGGTTAGGTGTATTAAATGCTTTTTGACATTTGACTTATCAACATATGATGTATTTCTTGGGATGTAATCATGCTGTAAATCAAAAAGCTTCTATATGTATAGTCACATCTAACACTACACCACACATAACAACCTTTTGAGCAACATTGATCTTTTTCTGCCTTTATACTTTTGAATGAATAGAACCTTCAAGTATGTAAACTTTCGGTACTGGCTTTCTGTGATTGAACAGAATTCTCCAGAGGTCATCCAGTTTGGTATATATGTTAGCAAACAGCTCTTTTTTGCCTCTCAGGAACATTTAATGATATGTATGTACCAACATTTATTTAACCATGTACTCATTAAAGAAGTGAGATGTTTCCAGATTTTAGAAAGTGTAACTTAAAGATTAGAAATAAAGTTGTTATAATTGTTAGTGTACAGGTTTTTGTGTGAACATAAGTATTAACATCTCTAGGATAAATGTCAAGGAATGCAAGTCTTGAGTCAAAGGGAAATAGCATGTTTAGATTTGAAAAAAATGACTGACATATTGTTTTTGAGAGTGACTATATATAATTACTTTTCTACCAGCAAGGTGTAAGTAATCCAGTATTTCAAATCGTTCCCAGAATTTGCTTTTGTCATCTTCTTTTTTTTTTTTTTCCAACCTTTAGCCATTCTGATAGGTGTACAATTGTGGTTTTAATATGCATTTCCCTAATGGCTATCAATACTGAATATCTCTTTGAAAGTTTGTCATCTGCATATGCTATTTTATGAACTGTTTCATCTTTTGCCCATTTTCTAATTGGATTTTTTTTAACCACTGAGTTTTTGAGACTTCCTTACATGTTTTAAATCCCAGACCTTTGTTAATTTGCGTTTGTAGTTTGCAACTCTTTTTGTCCCTTTCTATAGCTTGACTTTTCATCATTTCAACAAAGCTTTTCACAGAGCAAAGTGTTTTTAATTTTGATGAAGTAAAATCTTGATATTTATTTTTATGGAATGTACTGTTGGTATTGAAATTTGCTGCCATGTTATTCTTAGAACCTGCTGTGCCGCATCAACTGATAATCATCTCTGCTTACTAGAACCGCTTTCCTAAAACTGTATTCCATGGAGACTTACCTACAATTGCGGAACTGCATGAGACCCACCCTTGATCCAACCTTGAATGGAATCTATGTTCCCTATTGTTAAAAACTTTAAACTTGTGGCCCCTCTCCCTTTACTTGGATGTATCACATTTTCAATAACTCCCCTGGAAGGCAACTGTATATAGCAGAGATAGTGTAATGGGAGAGGGGGAAAGGGCAGAGGTTCAAACATAGGATAAAAAACATATATATATGTATACATATACATGAAAGTAGAAATGGAATATTATTGATGATAACATGCTTGATTAAGCCACCATACAGTTTATCCTAGATGGGAAACCACATTTAGTATGTTGTGATGATGCTCAGGGAATGAATGTTAGGTAATATATAAAGAAAAAAAAAAAGTTGCAGGAGGAACAAAAAAAAAAAACGGTGAAACTGTGCGTATCATTTTGTAAAAAAAAAAATGCATATTTGACGACTGCAGTGAGCTGTATGGGCACAGCTGGGTACTACTTTATAGTATGTTCATTCTACTCA